CATAACGAAAAAACTTGTTTTATCAGTGCTAACCGGCACCGGTGCTTCGATCAGCATTTCACAAGCCTTCTTCAGTGTAAGGCGATTGACCCGGTGGTTTTTGTCTCATCAAGTTGTAAGCCAACACATAACAAACAGCCTTAAACTGTAAAATATATCTATCAGATTCAAATTATCCAATAGTAAGTCAACCAGATTCAATGGACGTTATTCCCTCTGGTCGAGGAGGCAGCAGTTTAAGGCAATGCCTCCAACGTTATCGATGCTTCATCAGCTTCAGCAGACGGTATTTCGAGTCTGGAACAGAACCTGCAAGGACCCTTGCCCTGACTATTCTTGCCGTCCTCAGAGTCTTTGCCCAGCGGTTGAGCAAGAAGTAGCTGTTCTGCTTTCTTTCTGGAAGCACTCCAGTGCGTGCCCAAACCATAGCTGTTCCGACTTCTCAATCACAATAACGATATCAACTAGCATAAAGCGTTATGGCTCTTTCCACTCATCAAAGAAAAATCTCATTTTCCAAATAAAGTTCCAGATGTGGCAATCAGCTTTGAAAGTGCCGTCTAACCACAGAAAAGTCTGCCTTGATCTACAATTGGCTCTGCTCTCTAAAGATCGATTTTTTTCAATAGCAAAAGTAAGGCAACAAGAGAAAATTACTACAGAAACGTAAAACTTGTGATTCATATTGCCTATCGCAGCAAATGGATTGCCAAGGTTACAGAATTCTGTAAGATCTAATCAAAACCGGGATTCACATGACATCGTCGATCGTTTATCCACGTATTGCACCGCTGGATCTTGCGCATATGGCAGCATAAATGTTGATCTCGTAGTACCGTCAGATGTTTTTAACTTAAACCTAGAAACCAACTGGTTAATTCGTTAACAGCACCACCTTCAGAGCCAACATATTTTGTTTGATTAATTAACCATTTCGGCATATGCACCGCATATGGTTTGGCGGCAAAGAGACAAAGTGCTTCGAAATTAACCTTCGAGTTGTTTAGAGTTGAGGTTGAGTTCTGTAACCTTTATTTTTGCAGAGAAGAGGCGATCTTAAGCTGTAGCTCATGAACAATGGGGGCTGTCGTCTTAACTATCAAATGGCCAATGATATAAATGACCATTAACGCTACAATGTTGACTTCTAATCTTCGACTCGTTCCAAATTCTTTAAAACCGGCCAAAGGCTGATATTCCCAATGTTGAATTGCGTGACAAGCATAAGCGCATCCGTCAGACAAAACCGTTATCTGTTTGGACAAAATGGAGTCTTCAATCTGAAATGATATGTTCACACCTCAGTGGTCGTCATAATAGTTTGCAGGGCAGCTCAAATCAGTTCCATAATTCTGTAATTACGTCTTACACAAAATTTCCGTATGTTACAGATAATCATTTATTATGTAGCGTTTTCTAACTATGTGTAAAACGAATCTTTCCCTCGTGTCAGGAATGGTCACATGAATTTGGAAATCGTCGAAATTAGTCATCGATCAGATAATTTTCCATGCAATGCAGCTCCATCCTCATCCTCCGTCGATGACACGATGCAATCGTACTCGAAACGAACCGGAAAACGAGCAAAATGCGTTCCCATATTTGCCGACAAACCAGTACAAAAAATACTCAGTTCCGCTCATGTCACGTGTTTAGTAGACCGTTGCAAAGATGAATCTGAACTGTTTAATAATCTGCGCTGAAGGACTTGTCTAGTCAGTAAGGTCTTCGTAAGGATACAAGCGATTAAGATGCTTGATTGGTTTGAGGGCAGCAAACGTCAATCCTTACCGTAAGAATATGTCTGAATATGTCTGAACTTTGCACTTGGTCACGTTGATGAAGATGACAGTGATTTTCAGTTTAGATACGCATCATTTGGGAAATCAGCATAAGTAGTAATGCAATGTGGTCCTCCGGTTTACGAAAACTCGTACCCTGGGAACATCTGCCGCCATTTGCAACGTCCACGAATGTGTCACTCCTTCCCTAATCCGAGAATCTTTCCCAAGAGTCTTTTATGAATAGTGGGAGACAGCTACGATAATTGGCAAGTTTGTCTCTGAGTCGCGTCGTCAGCGGAAATTTTCTCTGGCGGTAGAACAAACCGATAGCGAAAGCGATTTACTGGTGCCAAGGAGTCACTGAATACGGCTGTGACCAATTTGCTTGCTAGCACAGATCCTAAGAGTCCGAACTCGAACTCCGGAGGTACTGGGTTTGATTCGTCACAAGTACGATCTCTTTTTTGAACAAGAAATTCACTAGGAATTTTCTTCGGCCGAAGTTAACTAAGAGTTGCTTCAAGTCGAGGTTCCGCAGCCGGTAGGACATCGAACTCAAACCTGAGAAGTCCCAAGTTCGAGCCCGGTCAGGTTCACTCGTCTTTCTTCCTTCTGAGGTTGATAAACAAATACTACTCCGTGGAAAGGAAGCAAGAAACTACCCCTACACTGCTTTGAATTAAAATACTCTTGATTAATGGCATGGAAATAGATATCAGTACACCTCATGAAAATAAGGGCTAGAAATAGCCCCATCATGAAAATATAAAGAAGACTGACATTTCAACGGGTACAAAATTTCCTCCTTTTTCATTTATTATGGCCAATAAAAAGAGATTAGAATCTGACCCTACTGAATCTTTTTAGTTCAACCTTTCTGCCCATGTTCTGTTCTCCATAAATCCAACTTTGTTATTAATCTATGTATGATGAATTCTGAAATTATTGGTTACTGTGGCAGCGGGAAAACATTTGCCATTGTCAAACCCTTTCAAATCTTTTAAGGCATCCTTGACTAAGAAAATGATCACCTGATCGCACACCTTAATTGATGAATGTTACTTCACAAAGATTACGCCTCTTAAGTTTATAACGGCAGTTTTAAACGGGAAGTATTGTCCGCCAAGCGCTACTGGTCAGGAATTGTAAATTAGCGTCGATGTAAACAGGAAAATAATGGAAATTCGTCGCAACCGTCAAAATCAACTTCTTTGATGTAGTAGCTTAAAGTTACTATGCACTCATCACGCTTAAGTTCATAACTGACTCCTAATTGGGAGCATCACTGGTCAGTATCCATTTCTGTCTCTGAAGAATGAGCAATGTAGTGTTTCGTATTTCGCCTATGCTTCCGTTTGTCTATCGGTATATTCAACACAAATGGCTTAGCCTGGAGCTGAACAGCATAAGTATCCATTATGCCACTACATGTCACCAGAATCACGTAATCTTGTGAGGGACTCGTCCCTAAGTCGTGAGTGTTGTTTGCAATGGTTTGGATAAATAGCACTCGTTGGAGAACAGAGGATTTTATTTTGACATAGCAAATCTGGGTTACTCTGCTGCTTAAGCTCTGCTAGCTCTCAATGACGATGGCACAATGATAAATTCTAAAATTAAGACTGCAAACCAGATGACGAGATTATGCAAAAAATATGACATTGCTGCATACCTTAGAATCTAGATTATTGAGCTAATCGGTTTGGCTGACATCTTACAGTACGAAGAAAGCCCTTCTAGTCTGCAGGTGAGGCAATGATGAGGTCATGAGGCTGTTGAAATTATCGCTGGGTCAGCTACACCTGCTATTCTGTCAATAATTTTTGCATGGTCTTATCGAAATTCATCGCTGTCAGCATGTGGCCGTCCTTCTAACGCAACGGATAGAGGCAAGAAAACGACTTAAAATCTCAACACCTATTCAATTTTCTAGCATCTCAGTCAATACCACAACGAATGTGTCCTCCACTCAAATGAAAATGTTCCCTCATAACAGGTCTATACACGAAGATGGCTCAAAGTTAAGGGACCTTATCCAAGATCAGCGTTTCAGACAACAGTCACATAGTCTTTAATCAGTGCATACTCCAAAGGAAGGTTAGAAAGTAACAGGGGACATGAAATTGTAACGTTGTTCCATTTCTTATCTAATACTAAGTGACCCTTTCGCTCGGTGTATGTCTTGACTAGGAACAATGTGGTTATCAGAAACAGCACTG